TGTAAATAGTCAGATAATTGTCTAATCAAATCAATTTTCAAAGTCAATGATCAACAGAGGAATTCATAAAAATAATCAATAGCTGCAGCTCTGATAAATGTCTGCTCTAATCAATCACTGCTTTAACATATAATTATGTTATACCATTATTTCTGGCTCCTGCTGGTTTAAGAAGCTTTTAACTGAACTGTTGCTGCTGGGTACCACAGGGAGGCGCTACAGGTCAAAGAGGTTAAACGCTTGAGGAGCAGCTATTTTTTCCTTTTTTTCTCCTACATGTTGATATTTGTCGTCTGTACAGTATGTGAGATTACTCCATTATTTATTGATGAGATTTGGGAAGTCCGCTGCTCACCATCCGCAGATGCACAGAAGGAAAAAAAACTCATTGGTCTGGATATACAATCAATATCAATGCAAAAGCTTAAGTGATAAAAAAGAGCCTGCGGGCCAGTGAGCTGGTCTACACCCAGTAACAACAGTCGATGAGCAGATGGGCCTGAAATCTACTCAACGCTACGGTTGGTTTACCACCTACAGTCCACGTATTTTCTATTAATAAAGCACAAACTCCTACACAGCAACTTCTGTACAATAAGCTGTAAATACTGTTGTCTCTGTTCAACACGCAGTCATCTGAAAAGGTCCTGGTGGGTTTCCTTCCGTTACCATTTCCTCGTTATTAAACACAGTGTAGATACAGTCGTTCATCAGTACGTCTTTGAGTCGGTGCTGAAATCTGTGTCACATCCCTTTTTTGTGCTTTCTTCCTTGGCGTGGGATTGGAGGTGGTTGGGGGTGGGCTCCTCAGAGCTTTGCCCACTGACATTACAGCTGCATTCAACCAAAAGCCAGCAATTACCCAGCATCCCTGTATCCAGTAGATCCCGGCCCGCCTCATCTTCACCAATTAACGTGGAGGGTGATCTTCTACGTGCTGTTTTGATCAAAGAGCGACAGGCTGCAGAGGCAGCAAAAAGCAGCCCAGAGGCCTCTAATGAAAGAAAACCAGACACTATTAATTCTCCATAATGTTAATCAGCAAATTGGCCAGTGTTCTCTCACTCAGCCATGCCACTGACTGAAGCCCCCCACGGGGCCACCTCAGCTGGAGGTGCGAAAAGTATCGGAGACACACTAATGACTGCGGAGCTTGTACTCATTCATCCCGTGTTGTAAACGCGGCACAAACGCTGATGCAGCAGCCTAGGAAACAGGAAACAAATGGACACAATCATATTGCTCGTCTGACATACAGTGTCGCAGCACCTATTTGTTTAGGCTTCCTGGGCAGAGGACGGAGAGTCCAATCAAAGGGGACACAGTCGTGATGACAACAACTGTATCTGTTAGGGGCCAATTATATTTCTCAAATGTGCAACAACAAGTAAAAGGTATCGATGTAACCGTTTCACATATGGGTGATGTGACAATCACAGATGCGGGCGAAGGTGCCAGCATCGACGGCGCCAAATCCAATTTTGTGACTGCATCATCTCTGCTGGAGCTACAGTGGCACCGCAGCTCATCGACGGCTCTGTCTTTGGGGCTTTCTGTGCGACTCTGCGACAAGAGGGCTCTGTCCTCCACTAAGAACAACAAGGCTACTCTAGAGACAGTGTGAGAGCCGCGGGGATCAAAGATCTCCAATAAGACTGGCCCCACGAAAGGTCAGAACTGTTCTATCAGAGTGTGCTGTCAACAAAGCCCCGACATCACAGGGCTGTTTGAAGTCAGATTTCAGAGAGAATTTCCTTTCGCTGTGCACATCTGCTTTGAGGACACTTTCATGAAAAATATATATGTGCTCGCCCAAAACACAAGTGATCAACGAACCTCGTTGGCATTCCACACCCCTGACCTTTGCATCATTTATTTATGTGGAAAGCTGGTTTTTGTAAGAGTCTCAGACGTTTCATTGCCTCTGTCAGTGTCTCCTCTGTTGTTGATGGCCCTGGCAGAAGAGAGTTGGAGGGGTAGATAACAAACCGCTGATGTAAACACACACACAGAGACACACTTTCCTGCTCCAAGCTGCACTAGCTGTCCTTGCTAATCCCCAGAAAAGCCTTGGAGGAGTCACAGAGGGACCTTTTTGGACAAGTCCCCAAAGGTGACATTTGGATTTGTCGGTTGAAATCAAAATGAAACACACTGGCATGAACACACAAACGCATTTTCGCAATACAACATGAACATAATTATTTTTATTTAATCGGGTGCCATTGTTCCGGAAAAACATGCTTAAAGTCTTTCACAGCATCTCTTCACAGAAGAAGGACCATCCTTATTGTCTTTGTCCACACACAAACAGACAAGCTGCCCCGTAGTGATGCACCTTTGCACATGGTAAACAACATCAACTTTTACCTGGATATATTTCTACTGTGAAATAACACATCAGCTCTACAGTTTTCAGTAGTATCCCTGCGTACTGTTGTCATGTTCTGTGTTTACTGTAGTTTTTATTTTGTGTTTTGACACAGACACTGTGCCTGGAAAGAAATTGAACCACTTTTTCATCTTTGTCGTCTTCTTCTTCTAGCTGCTTCCTTCGAGTGTCCCGACAGTGGATCAGTGCCTTCATCTCTCTGTATCCATCGCCTTCTGTAGTGTTACACCAAGCAGTTCTACGTCCTCTTTCACCTCTTCCATGAATCTTCTGTGGGATCTTCACTGTTCTACTTGCTCGGCAACTCCATCTCCAGCAACACTATCTCCCAAGTGCTCCACCTTCACTGTTCCTCTGATCTGCTCATTTCTATTCCTGTCCATCCTGGTCACTCCTAATGAAAATTTTATCATCTCCAACCCTCCGCCTGAACCTCGGCCTTATCTCCTTTAGACGGAGCAACTGTCAAAACCATTCAACCCGGCAGATCTCATACACAGTACCTTCTTATTTAATCTTGTTGCTGTGCCTCTGTCACACATCGCCCCTAAAACTGGTCTCCATCCATATCATCCATACAACTGCGGATTGGTCCCTGCCAGTTACTGTACTTGAACTCGTCCATCTTTGCAGTTTCGAGTGTTCAGGATCATGTTATGTAGCTCCACAACAAACTTATTTTCAGTTATTAGAATAACATCCATGGGACTCTGTTATTTCTGGGAATGCAGCAGCTCATGCAGCTCAATTTGGACATGGCCACAGGAGAATCTCACTTCAGAGGGTTGGATGGCTCTTACACTTTGCCCTAATGCTCCAAACAAGAACCACATGTCTGTACCTCTACGCATGAACTCCCAAAACTCAGGGCTGGGGCTCAGAGGGTCATGGGGTGAAATGGGATTTACCCAAACTGCAAATCTGTCCAGAGGGATGTGCTGGATCATCCGAGTGAGCAGCAGTGATTTCTTGACTGATGTGGGTGACTGAACCACCATGTTAGTGAGTGTGTGGGTGTGTGCATGTGTGTTTTCTTCTGCTCTCTCATTTTTGAGGCTTTAGTTACAAAGGGTATGATGTTGGGTGGTGACTCCAAGGTGAGATGAGGAGATGGCAGTGTGCCTGGAGGTTGTTGCTAGTGAGAGTGAATCATGCAAAATGGCGTATGAGCTCATTCCTCCAGATAGAAGTGGATTCATTCTAATTGAAATAAATATAGAAACAAAAACCATTTCTGAACCTTTCTGCTCACCGGCAGGACAAAACCTTGACCCTGCGGAGACTCGAGTTAATCTGGACAAACCATGGACCATCAGCACAGAGGGAATGAGAAGTACACTTGAAATGTAAAAGAAAAAGATTGGCTATCAAGGCTGAAAAATACCCTCATGAAATGTGGTTAAAAATAAATTCCTAGCAGGCTGGAGCAGCTGTTTAATTTGGCCTGCAGGCTTTGGCAATTTGTCTTTGTGTTTGTGCATTTATATTAGAACTTGTATTTGTATTGTATGAGCATTTTTTCCCCCAGCTCTTTTGTGCGTGTCTCTATTGGCTTTTATTTGTCAGTGGCATGTGCTGACCTTTGCATGTGTCAATGAATGATGTGTATGTATCGATGTGTGAACGTGTGTGGAGGGAGACACTGTATGTAAAGCACTATGTGGTGGTTGATTGAAAAACAAAGGAATGTGACGGGACATTTTGACGCTTAGACCTAAGTAAGGACGAGGATGTGAGTTATGGTGATTGATGAGGCTCAGGTTTGATGATAACCTGTCGTAGGTTAGGTTTTAAAAGTATGGTTTTGGTCGAATGGAACGAGAGACAGGGAAAACCTCAGTGTGTATGTGTATGTTTGAGTGTGGAAATAAAAACAGAGGCTCTGCTGTGTGGATTTCTGACTCAGAGCTGCTATGTTGCACACAGAGTGCTGCACGGTGAAGAAGAGGCTCCAAACACTGTAGCCCGAGGTTACTGCCCCTGCGACCCACCCTTCCAGTCACCTCTAATGCCACCACCACCGCTACTATCCTTGCCCCTGCCCCAATAAGCCCTACAACCTTCCACCCCCTCTTGAAGTGGTATGATAGTGGAATGATAATGAGAAACTCACAGGCGGGCAAATACACAAGCACAGGCAGAAGCGGCAGAATATTCATAGGCTGTCACATTACTCTGATTCTTAAAGGGGTGGATAGGGTGGGGTAAGGTGGGGTGGGGGTGCATGAATACAATATGAGCTACAATGTATGAGGGAGAGAGAGAATCCCAGGCTGGGAAAACTCCTCGCGTCTCACAGCTCACATCACTGGTTATTAATCAGCATGTTTGCAGGAAAATGCTGCCGCTGCAGGTCTGAAGGAGTGAGCAGACACTTTTCATTCATCTTTCATTATTCGTGAGGTTTCCTGTTAATGTGAACAGAGTGACCGCACTGGAAAGTTCACCTGTTGCAGAATGAAACTTGACCCCCGTCCCTCTTTTGGGTCAATTATAGGCATTACAACAACTAATAATAACACTTAAAACTTCGACACTGTAAAAAAAAAAATGCATTTGGTTAGAGATTATATTTAGTTGTTATGACTTTCAATGTTTGCAAACTTACCTTCAGCGACTCTACGTCGAGAGTGGCCGACTGATCCATGTCACAGTCTCATCAGTCCCACTCACATATTTACACCAAGTTCACAAAGATGCACACAACAGCATCAGGGCGCAGGATATTCCGAGCACACAGCGAGTCTTTACTACCATTTAAGGAGGGAGGAAATTCTACAATCCGAGTCTTGAAATAAATTGAGTATATTTGTGGTCTTCATACTCGAACAAGACAAGTCCCGGGTGATGCTGGAAGAGCAGGTGCTTCCCTCCGCATCTCACTTTACGCTGAAACCAGTCGCTCAGCTTGAAATCGTACTGTCGTCAATTAAAACTCGATATCGCGCTACACTTCCGGTGCTTGGTTAGCAAAATTAAAAGTCGCGACAAACAACCGTTACCTTGGTCTTACTCCCTGAGTTGTAATTGTGAGTGTGAGAGAGATCTCGGGTACGCTGTTATTGTTTTAAAATAAACTTCACTGCTGCAACTCAGTCAGAAATTCCCCAACAACCAACACATATTTGATGAGATTATTAGCATTTGTCATGTAGATATTTTAGTTTTCGTTTGACCTTTATTTTGAAAAATAAGAATACCGGATTCAACGCAATTACAGTTGGCTTTATATATTTCCAAATCTCACTCTGAGGATAATAAATGTTGTTTGAGATGTTTTATTGAGCTCCGGGTAGAGTCACAATACTTTTGAAAGAAATTGCAGCCTATGAAGAAACGCTGTGCTTTATTTTATTTTTGGGATTTTGCTTCTGTTTCGCATTGACATGCAGTCCCTCACTGACAGCGTCTGCTTTTGTTATAACATGGTCAGTGTTGGACCCTGCAGGATGTTAACTGTTACTGCAAGGAGTGGTTTCCCCTTTGTGCCGTTCATTATCAAAATGTATTCTTAATTAAATTCGCTATCTATGAAAGCATCAGCTCATTCTGCTATAACATATAATAAAGCATATTGAGGCTGATATACCCGGAAAAGAAAAAGAAAATTAAATAAATAACTATCATAGGTGGAGGTTCCATAGTTTAGCAGTTAGCACGTCTGTCTTGCAAACACAGAGCACAGAACCCTGGGTTTGATCGGCAGAGGAACCAACATATCCCTATTATTATTATTATTATTATTATTATTATTATTATTATTATTATTATTATTTGCAAAGTCTATATGTGACTTCACTGACAGGTGCTTAGCTTCAACTAAAAATATATATATATATAAAAATACAATTGTTTGCAAAGACGTAAAGAAGTAAAAAATAATGCACATACAATATTCACGAAACGTTACTTTTTATGGCCAGTAGAGGGACATAATGCACATACAATATTCACGTTACTTTTTATGGCCAGTAGAGGGAAGCAACATTCCATATTTGTGTTTTCAGACAAACTCAAACACACCGGAGCCTCAACTCTAAACTAGGCATAGTAGTCGATTATCAGTCAAATAGATTTCTTACATTGCAGGGATATCAGGCGCCAACACGCAAATGATGGCACAGAAAAGGTAACGTAACGCTATTTCGCCGATAATCGTTTGTATTTAAATATTTTATGATACCAGAAAGAAAATATAGAATTGCATGTTTACATTGCCGTAAAAAAGATGGCGACGTTTATGTATATATGTATTTCTATATATATTTTTAGGCCATGTTGTGATTACTTTCCGTTTATTCTCGCAGCATCAAAATTGCAGCTGGTGCTGTGGTGTGTGTGGAAAGCGAAATAAGAGGAGATGTAACTATTGGTGAGGAATGTTTTTCCCCCCAAACGTCAATATAAATCGACGTTGCTGCACTCTGAATACATCTGTGTTTTGGGTTTTGTTTTGTTTTGTTTGTTTGTTCTTGTTTTGTTTTGTTTGCTTTTAATTGTCAGGTGCCAGAACAGTTGTCCATCCGAAAGCAAGGATCATAGCAGAGGCTGGACCTATAATTATCGGTGAGGGGAATCTAATAGAGGAGCAGGCACTCATCATTAACAGGTGAGTCACGTGTTTACATTACCATAATATTTATAATGATAATAAACATATTTTAAATAGACTATACGTTTAGTGTTTGTTAGCTATAATTCTAGTGTGATTTTACATTTTCAGTTATCCAGAGAATATAAAGCCGGACACAGAGGGACTTGAACCCAAGACCATGATTATTGGGACCAATAATGTCTTTGAAGTTGGATGTGGTATCCTTTTGTAAATAAGTTCTTAAATAACAGGTTAGGCAACCTCCTTATGTAAATAAGGCCAAGGAACGGTATCTGATATGAAACACTTTATTCATAGGTTACCTCGCAGGAACAGTTACAGTATTAAATAACACCATCTATCACAAGCGTTACATCAAAATACATTAGTTAGTAGGGTTAAGGTGAACCCCCTCTGAAAGACCTTGGTTAATGTTAATCTAATAATGTTCTGCCTGTGATTCTAAAAGCTATTCTGATGTGTTGATAGAAAGCCTTGCACCTTGTTATGGTCTGAGTTTTGAAGTTAGTTTTTAGTAAAACTTCTACTAAATAATTAGTAGAATCTCTTGTAAACAAATGCCCCAAAAATGCTGAATGTAAGAAAAACATAGGTTAGAAAGAACCAGAAAATTACCACGATACGATAGAGTTGTTTTTTCAAGACGTTGAATTAAACAAACAAACAACAACAAAAAACTCTTCTCGTTTGCATGGAGAAGTGTGAGTTGTTCAAAAAGAACTTTTGTTTATATTTTATACTCTCTATTACATACGTCGTCCACCAGGGAGCAGTAGCACGATATATTTTCTATGGTTGCTGGTGTCTGCATTGAATGGACAGATTTCCCCACATCTGTATTCAGCGTCAGAGCCTTTGAAACTCGATGTTAATGAGTTTCTGGTCTGCAGTGAATGTATTTTCATGTAAAATTTCCCCTTACTGATTAAATCCTTAATTTATGGCCTTTCAACAGTTTCACAGGCTCTTAAAATTGGAGACAACAACGTGATTGAGTCCAAGGGTAAGTACTTGGTATTCCTCTGTTCGTGTGCATCGTAGTAATCATCTTCTTACGAGTTAGCATCATATAAAGTATTAGTGATAAATTGGAAATTTAATTACCCTACAAAAAAAATGAAGACACGTAATCCATTTTTGTCGACGACCTAATTACTCTTTTCCCACATCATAGTTTTCAGTTTAGTTCTGCACACACTTCTGTGGTCTCTGCAGAGTTTTGTTTTTCTGTCTCACTTTAAATTCCAGCTGACCTTGGAAGAAATGTGATTCTGAGCAGTGGCTGCATCATCGGCGCTTGCTGCCAGGTCAACACATGTGAGGTCGTGCCGGAGAACACAGTTGTGTACGGGTTGGACTGCATCAGGCGTGTGCAGAGTGAGAAGCCTCAGGTCTGTTTATCATTTGCTGCTGTTCTGTCAGAGTTCCTATGGGCCTGGAATGGAGTTTATGTAACCAGGTGTGATCTTGAACTCCTGTAGCCTCAGACTCTGCAGCTGGACTTTCTCATGAAGATCTTGCCCAACTACCACCACCTGAAGAAGACGGTGAAGGGCAGCGGCACACCCATCAGAAGTTAATGGAATTCTGTTTAGCTTCAAGCATTACTCTTGAAGCTACTTTTACTCTATTTGCACATTTCTTATCACTATCACTATACTACAATATTACCTTAGTGTCACTGCACTTTTATTTTAAGTTACATTAACAGTGTAACTTTACTTATCATATTTTGGGCTTTATTATTATTATTATTATTATTTTATATTGATCCCGTTATTTAATCTACCGGTATATTTACAAATGGTAAAAATTTAATTTTTATTTGGGCGTTTAGTCTTAAGCTTCTACATTTAGTGACCACATGGGGGGAGTATTGAGCAGCAGTCTGGAGACTCGTCCCGACAGCCTTTGTTTCATCTAATTGTAAAAAAAAAGATGGAAAACCAGTAAACGATCTTAAATAGCCTCTTTGACATTATTTACTCAAAACTAGTCATTGAATCAGATTTTTTCAAGATAAAAAATAGGAAACAAGAAGAAACCACTTGAAAGAATTGTTACTAAGTCAAAGTGATTCCTTCAAAGATATCTATGGGTGTGGTTATCGGTATCTTGGTGTCAGTGGGTTGCCAGTTCTACCCTCTCCCACCAGGCTTTGCCAAATTGGTGCCAGGGTGCAGTGGGAATTCCACTGAGCAGAGTTTATTGTAATTGAGATGGGTGTGGTTTTAGTTGCATTTCTGCTGCAGGATGGCTCCTTCCTTCCCGTGTTAAGCCCCTGGGGTGTTGCTAGCATCTGTGCCACACAGCCGCACAGATTAAAGTGTGGATGGATTAATGCACGCTGGACGGTCAGTGGCACAAAACAGTCTGGCATAGAACGTCCCCATGTCACATTTCACTGTTGTTTCAGTTGAGGCCGTGACACAAGCTTAAGGCTACTCAGGCTTGGAGGGGTGAAGGTGGAGAGTGGGTGTTTCGTGCCCGACGAGAAAGGAGCTGCGCAGTATCGCAGGTCCCTGTAGGCGGCCCACAGCTGGTGTCGCACTCTGCCAAAACTCATTTGAACATGTCATGATGGAGTCCCGAGAGGAGTCCACATCAACCAGGGGCTAATTATTTCAGCACCGGAGTGCAGTCGGGGCCACATCTAGGCTCCTTTTTGTTCTCACCTCTCTTCTCTTTTTTTCCTGCTACCATTAGTTTTTATTTTGTGTTGTTGCCAAAGTGTCTGTTGACTTTAACACGATAAGGAAGACAGATGCAGGGTGCAGTTGTACCAGAGTGAAGAAAGATACAGTGCTGAGGCAGAGAGGTGGTGGTGATGGTGGGAGGGGAGGGGCAAATGTGGCCTTTTAATCTTCAGAGTTCTACAGAGGCTAAATGATGATAGCAACTCATGGCAGGAATTTGAGAGGAAGTTCAAATGGTGTTCTATATTTGGAAAGAGTTATTTAAGCCTCTCCTTAACTGTACTGTTGGGAAACCAAATTATCTAGCTTCCACTCATTTGTTCATGTGGCACTGGTGTTTGCTTTCCTTTAAATGGATTATCTCCAGCCAGTGTTTGGCCTTAGCTACAATACGGAGCATTCTCTGAAGAGTCAATAATGTCTTATCATAAAACAAAGAGAGAGGCCTATATTTTAGGGCTAGATACAGAGGACAGAGAAGTACCTTTTCACTTGAGAACATGACAAACTATAGTACTTGGATAAATATAAATGGAAAAACCCAGTTTCTCAGCTTAGACCAGCAGGTGCACATCATGTGCTGCTGTTAACCAACACAGTCAAGTTTAAACAGGCCACCAGTTGTTGGGGAGGATAAAGGCTTTCTGACAGCTGACCTTTGCAGGTCCACTCCACCTTTGAAAAGTGAAATGTGACCTATAGGCTGCAGTGGATTTCATGGAAATCTCACAGAAATAATTAATTTCAGCATAAGAGGGACCAGAACAACTGGATGCTGTGACTTTTTAGCCATAATCACATGTTTGCAAAATTAGTTTTCTGCAAGTCAAGGCAGACAGTGTCACTGTTTGTCACACTGTGATGAAGGATAAATGATGCTAATGCTAACACTGTTCCATTATTCTTGTCTAATGTTTACACCAATTTTATGACTCAACACTTGCAAAAAAAAGCACCAGACTGGGGTGTCACTGACTTGATTCTCATTAGCTTATGTTAGCAAATGCATTAGCATGTTATGTTGACTTTAAAGTGTGTTTACTGCCAGGAGATTGTTTGATTATAGATTAATAGTATTGTGATGTGAACACCCAGAAGTATCATACTCTATTATTACTATATCAGTATTAGGCTGGTGCTAGAAAACTAGCAGAAAACAAATCCTATAGGTATCAGATTTGTAGCGAAATGGAACCTGAGCTGCCAGTAAAGCTCAAGGCTAGTGTGTTAGCATGCTCAATTTAGCCTGAAGAGTAACACGACTCAGGTAGAGGATTAGCTTCACAGCCATAGAGTGGAGAAGCTACTTGTGCTGATACTGCATTAAAATAAATATGATTTATCATATACAGAACATTTAAGCCTCACGTTGTCCTTGGCATTTTTTTTACACAACCAGCGTCCTCGCAACAGGTTTGCATCTTGTCCCAGAATCAGAGTATGAGGAAAAGTTGGTACAAGCCGTGCAGTACAGGAGCACATACACTCACACACACACAATAGCATATTATCAGTCACTGGTCACCTAGACCATAAGGACTTAATATGTCCACAAATGTGTGAAATAGAACTAGTGAGGTATGTCATACACATTTGGCACATACATGTCCATTAATAGGTTATGAACCGATACTTTACATAGTATTATCACATGATGAGGAAGATTTCCATGCACTTTGAAGCAGAAGAAACCAAACAAACTCTACTCTCTGGGCTAAAAGCTTAGTTCTGCCACTTAAAGTTCAGAAAGCAGCAAGACGTATTTATGTTCTATAAAGATTAAAGCATTGGGAAGTAACAGCAATCTCGGTACCTGGGTTTTAGTTTAACCTTTTATTGGTTTCACTCAACAACAAAAGAGAAAATACTGCTTAACCTGTCTCCCTTTGACCTGCTTGAAAGGGTTTCAGGCCCACTGGAAAGCATCCAGAGGGAACGTTATAGTCCATTATTCAGACCTGTGTCAACATTTGGGAATTCAAGCCGGGGAGACATACTCACCATGTTCTCCGTCTCCCTGCTCAGACCTCTTCTCTGCCCAGCAAACCATGACAAGCTATGGTACAGTCTGATGTCACATTGTCTCTTTCTTGTGTAGTTTCGGTTGGTGTAGTATGCATTTCCACATTTCAATACAACCTTGGGCTTTTACCTCACTACCCAGCTAGTCCTATACCTGTCTGACAAGGGATAATGAACAACAGGACTTGATTGTTAAGGCTTTTTTTCTCCTTCTTCCAACCAAAGGGGACAACATTCTTGACTGATTATTTCCTGGTACAGGCTAACATTTCTGCCTGTGAATATTTGGTGAGTGACAGTAATCAAAACACAGTGTGTGAACTCCAGAGATGACAATGCTGCTTGGCCAGTCCACTTCAGTCTAGAAGAAACCTTTGCAACCAGCTAAAGAGCCACATGTGGCTCTTTAGCCTCTTTGCAATGGCTGCCTGCAAAGGTCTTAAATTAGCCTGACTACTATACCAGTATTATATTCCACATCAAAACGTGTAGTTTTACTTCAGTTCTAAATTTAGTTCTAAATTTAACCATTTAAGTGGTTGAGATATTTTTATTTCTTCTGGTAAAAAAGCCTCTTCTGGTTCTGAAGGTTGTAGACTCTTGGTCTGGCCTAAAACATCTAACTTATAGATTGGGGAATACTGTAGAATACAGCTGGAGAAATTCAATGTATTTTGCTTATTTTTGAGCAGTATTTGCTCTCCAGGTAAAAGAAGATTTACAATATTTATGATGTATTTTAATGTAGTAGCCAACATGTATACGATGTATCTTGTAGAGTTTAATTTTTAATTTTTTATGTGTGTTATGCTGTGTTTTTGAATTCTCTCTGGCTCAAGAAGCATTGTTCCCTCCCTGTTTTGTCCATACTGCTGAGGATGCACTCCTCTTGTTTAAATAAACTTTATTGGAATCTGCCCAAGACACTGTGCTTATCTTTAGTGGGAGTAGTGTTTAACCAAACATACACAGTTTAAACAAGTGCATGGGTGGTTGCACATTCTTAGACTAGTGAAATAAAAAACAGAACACACAAACACAGGAAGTAAAAACACATCCACAAAGTTGCAGCATTTTTTTGTTTTGGTGAATATCCACGTCCTGAAAGAAGCGTTTTTGATGTAAGAAATCCTCTGTAAAGGATCGACTGCGCTCGACTGCAACAAAATACCAAACCTCTCCTGAACAATTAGAACAGGTCAGACTGACCACAGATTGCTCATTAGTGATCTTGGAGGAAGATCAAAGGGCGTGGGGCACAGGGGAGGAACGGTGCGTATCAGTAAGTCAAAGGAATGGCCTGGCTGGGAGCCCAAAGAACCACTTAGCCCAGATCACTCAAAGAGGTAGAGTGTGTTGCTCTGACAAACAGAGCTGCTATCTGGCCGACATGCAGGCCCACTTGTTTTCACAGGTGACCTCTGAAGGGATTACAGCATTGTCCTCTCTCCTTTGTTCCTTTTTTCCTCTGCGTTGGCTTTGGAGGAAGTTAGTAACCATGGAGCCCAGCGATAAGGAGTTTCTTTTCCGAGTTTCAGGAATGCAAAGAAAGGGGTGTAACAGGGAGTGGGCACGGCAACGACTCACAGTCTAGTGGCTGCCGTCCGAAGAACAGACTCCGCGAACCACAGGGTTTTTCCCTGTGGGATCCCCGGCTGGTCAATACATTGATGTTGTGTCATCGTAGATTAATGCCTCGGTGCTCATATCAAACTGGGTTTTTAGCTCTGAGTCAGTGATCCAGAAGATGATATTGATCACCTGGTGTGCGTCTCACTTTTCAGGCTTGTGTTTGTTTCAGAAGGGGTTCTGATGTTGATCACATAGTTGTTATCGCAGAGACAAAAGATCTTCAGTATGTGTAGAAATACTTTGGGGAAATATAAATAATTCAAATTTCTGCTGCTATAATGCTTTTAACTATTGCATCAAGATATTATGTTAAAAATATCCAGGAGAAATCCTTTGATAACTAATGCACAAAGCTTGATGTGAAAGTAAAATGATCAAACCAAATATGAAACAATATATTTTTTGTAATAACCATTTTAAATATTGTATACAAATAACACCAGAGGGTTTCGTTTCCACAGCAGCCCATACTGTAATCTCTTAGAACACAAAGAACAATGGAATGATGACGTATGACATATATTGCATTATGGAATGTTTGCTTAAACTCATCTGTTTTTTATTCATGCATGTCAGTCTACGGGTCACTTCCCTCCTAAAATGCAGAGGAAGTAAGTACCAAACCTTTGTTTTAAAAGGAAAAAAATAATTTAAATGTTGGAAAAGGCGTGGCCCTCTAAGTTAATGTCTTTAGTATGTCAGAGTAATCTATAAAAACAAAACAAAAACAGAGGCTTTCAGATAATTCAGATAATTCACACAATCACTTCAATACAGCAAGGCAACAGTAACAAGAAGGGTTTTGTCAGGGTTTATTTCTTTTTTAGGTCTTAAAAAATATGTTCTTTTCTATAGCACTAATAGTAAGTTAAGGTAAGAATTGTGAGAAGAAGAAAGAAAGTGGTACTTTGTACACTGATGATACAGATGGTTCTGATTTTAGTGATTTAAATGTTGCAAAAATGTGTTTGTGGCTTGTGAATTTTGTGTTGGTAAAATGATCAAAAATGTCCCATTATGGTTGCAGACGTCTGGTACAGGAGTTTTCACCTGTGGTTATGTTTGGTACACCCTTGTTGAAGTAGTTAAGCTCCACAGACCTGTAGAGCTCTGTGCTATATTTAGCCATGTCTTCACCACAGCTACTCTTAATGAGATCCAGTTTATCACCTGTCCCCGAACATCCATGTTTTATAGGTCAGAGAAATAGATTTATATCAAGCACACTGGACCCTAGTATTACAGATGTGTCCATAGCACCACCTGCAGGGAGGTTAAGGGAAGCTCAACAGATTACCAAAATGTTATCATTTAATTTTCTAATCGAGAGTGTTGTGGTGGATAGGTTTTAAATTTCGGAATTACTGAGGCATTAAAGGATATTGTTTTAAAAATGTTGTTTGTTTTTCTTAATGTTTGATTTTTTTATTATTCTCCAGAGCTTAGAATATTCTACATAGTAGTTTTACCAGCATGACTTCATTTTTACTCTACAGCAGATAACAGAGATATCTTGATGTAAGACTGCGCCATGTCAAAGCTTGCTGACATGTTACCCAGGACACCGTGACCAGACTGTCTCCTATCTGCCCTGCATCGCCCCCCTGTTGTATGTGTCCGTGTGTGTGTGTGTGTGTATGTGTGTGTGTGTGTGTGAGAGAGAGTGAGTGAGAGCCATGTTATACACACACATACTCCTTCTCCGAGCTTCAGACCACACAGCTCAGCCCGGGGACCTGTCAAACACAGCTGGGACATCTCTCCCCTCTACCTTCCCCCTGACTCCTCTCCTCTCCTCCTTCTCCTCACCTCACCTCCCCCTTCTTGCTCCCCAGACTCCAGCAGGAGTCTTTGATACTGGAGAATGTTGAGCAGCATGGGGAACATTTCCATTTTTATCTGCTCCGAAGACTCCGAGAGCCTCCTCCTCCTCTCCCTTCATGCTGAACTGCCTCTCATCAGCATAAAAGACCCTGCCTGGTCCCTTCCTTGTCGTGCATTTTTCACATGTAGCCTAATTGATATTGGCATGATCAGACACAGAAAAGAGCACAAATCCTTTTGAGACTCATCCGCAACGACTGTTGTGCCTTCTTCTGCTGCAATCTGGTTGCAGTTTCAGCACAAAAGGCACTGAAGTTGTCTTTTTCACTGGCTGTCACAAGAACGGAGAGTGAGTCCCGAGCAATAAATGTCCTGCAACGCAGAGTCAGAGCTACTGTCAAACCCTCAGGTGTTTTATCATCAAATACAAAGTGAAGCACTTGCTCAAAATCAATGGTGGGCGAGTTCAAGGCTGCTTTGTCACCTGATTGCTGCTGCTGCTTTACAAGGCACCGTGCACTGTAGACAATAATAGGTGTGCCCATAAAGTTTTTAGTGTTTGCTCACCTCTACTGTTATTGAGACATCACTTCCATTGCTCTAGGGTCTGCCTGTTCCCCTGCCTTAGGGGTCATAAATCAAAAGGTCTTAGGTGAGCTCACAGAGGCTCAGCGTAGCATATCACACTTCTTAATCTTGAGCAATTTACAGGTGTAGTCTCCAGTCACGTGCTACAACTTTGCTCTGCTTATTGTGGACCTGAAGATTAGTTTAAGCCCTTCAAACTATTATTGTCTCTTCAGTGTCTGTTCTTCTGCTCTATTTTCCCTTTTGCGTCCTTGCAGTTTCTCTCATTGTGTTTTATGTCTTGTTCACCACTTACACAGTGTTCCTTTGACTGCTTTGGGTTTTGCTGTCCTGTTTTGTGATTTGTGGTTTGTGTTTTTTTCACCTAGTGTATTTATCAAAGTGTTTATCTGTGTAGTACAGCAAGTATTTAAGGTAAAGACTTTTTTCTGCAGCTGAGATTTCACAACATCTGTTTGGAAGTTATTAAACAGCCTGGTTGATCATTGCCTTCTTTTTGCCTTTTCTGTGCATCTTTACAGATTACAGATTTTTTCGGGAATTATGCTGAGTGTCAAATTTTTGGCTGTATAGGCAGAAAAATAAAAGGTAGTCTCCTGAGTTTGCAAGCTTTGCTGAATAACATACGACTTCCGGAGCTATGATGGAAACTTGTTTAGTTAAAGATTAAACATATTAACCTTGTGTTATTCCTGACCGAGATGGAACTAAGGTGAAGGAGCAGTCAACGATGCAACATTACTGTAAAGAAATAAAATAAATATAAAAGGCACAACCTGTTGCTTGTGTGTTACAGTTTCATATATAATGTTGCATTTTCTTTGAGTTAAAAAATATAGGATTGTTTTAATGTATAGCCATATAAACCACAGAGAAAGATGGCAGTTAGTGGTTTTGTCTTGAGACCACTGTAAGTTCTTGATTATTTATGGCTGAGACCAATCACTTCCTGGGTTTTGTGTTTTATGGCTGAGACCAATCACTTCCTGGAGCCATGTTATATCAGTTTAGCAGAGTTGAGCTGTTTTCCCATTCCTGTTGAATGTATGAACACTAGACCAACTTTAGTGGTTGTCTTCTTCATAACCAGTCGCAGAGTTGAGCTGTTTCCCCATTCCTGTTGTATGAACACTAGACCAAGTTTAGTGGTTGTCTTCTTCATAACCAGTATTCAATGGTAGATAAAAAGCCTAATGTCTCCCCTAACTACTTTAAAATAGACTTGGGAGTCATATCCTAGAACCCAATATTTAACTCAGCACCAAAACATGTAAATAAAAGTATAGTGCTACAGAATGTCTGTTTTTCAGATGTGAATCATTTTATTTAACAATAGAAATATCCAGTAAACTGTGATAGAAGACTGAGGTCTTCTATTACAATGTTACCGCAGATTTAGATACACATATTAGGCTGTGAAAATTAACACGTAAATGGCTTTAATTAATTAGTGAAATAATAATTTCTCTAAAACTCAGTCAATACACGTGTTGTCATTTCATCACGATCATAATCGACATGGGACTTGTGAAGGTGAACTTGAAGAACCGGAACCTCATGTGAGGAATATTTATATTACATAAAGGCGTCAAAAACAATTCCATTTAAAACAATAGAACTGTTGGCGACTCCATGTGACAATAGAAAACCTTTCAGCGGTGAACATGTAGTCTCTGGTAAATGACCAGCACCGGCTGTGATTTTCTTCTTCTACTGTTCATTCCTGCAGCACTTGATAGTGCCCAGCAGATCCTTTTACTCCACCCTAAACCCTTCCCTCTTCCCTCCCCTCCTGCCTGGGAGATGAGGAGAGAGAAGTTTGCCGGCGGCTCGTCCCCTCAACATTCACCGTGATTTCATTTACACGAGGAAGAGCAACAACAGCCAGCGGTGAAGCATTTTTGCTGGTCCGGGGAATGCTTAGGACTAAACCACAGCCCAGACCAAGTCAAGTCTTTATCTGCGTGTTTATAAATCAAATAAAAACATCCGACAGTCACCGTTGATGTCGCTAAAGTAGTAGAAACTCGGGTCAGTGGGACAGCGGCCGGACGCGGACTGTTGTCTGACGGAGACGCTGCTTGTCTGATCGTCTTATCCTGTGTTTTTAACCGTTGTTTTTGGGTCCCGGAGCAGTAGAGGAGAAGAAAAGACGGAGGCGACGAGAAGATAAGAAGAAAAGCAGCCCAGTGAAAGTAACAGCGTGCGACTCAGGATGAATAACGTCAAAAACGACAAAGAGAACGAGCAGAGTGAATACACCAACCACGAAGAGGAGGTAGGTCTGCTACCTGCAGCCATCGTTCATCTCCACGTCTTTAACCTTGGCCCTCCTGTGGTCTTTTTAAGTTGTTTATTTCCCCCCTTCTTAATTACATTTAACATTTGATTTTGTGTTAATGCATAGATAGTAACACACCTTTTTACAATTGTTTAACCAGCTTAACGGTACATATTTTGGTTATCAAAATTCAGCGCAATATAAATACATCCACCACCAAATCCATTATGAGTTAGGGTGTTTAACTTTAAAAACAAACGCATTTTGAGTAATCTTAGAAGATAACCTGTTTTTGTGATCTACAAGAAAAAAAGAAGAAGAAATAAATAACATATCCTGAGGCAATGCATTTCAGTAATAAATATAACTGGAAAAAACTTTCCTTGACCCGACAAACCACTTTTAGGTTACTACCCACCATTTGAGCAACAGTGCATTAAAATATATTTTATGCTCAACAATCAGATATATTAAGGCAAATTGTCTTTTAGATATTGATGTACAAAATATTGTATGTATTAGTCTAAATAACCTTTATAATCCATTCTGACATTTCTTTCAGGATGCTTTGAGATTTGACCATTAATGTAAAAAGAAGTCAAAGTTTAATCTTCATGTAAACTAGAAAAGATATTCAGTTTATCACTACATAAAAGCAAAGAGACCAAAACATATTCATAATGAGGGGGGTAAAAAACTGTGCATCTTTATCAACGTCATTGTGGAAGCATATGTTAAACACTTTGTAAAACTTCACAGCAAGATACAGGAAGAACTAAATTTATGATAAAATATACATCACATATTCATGGATGCTGAGCTAATCTATGACCAGGGGTGGAATAAAGAGACTTTGTAGACACCATATTTAAGTGATGGAAGCTCTAGCTCACTGTACCATAAAAGAGGACTCCACACTACTTTCAGAAACAGTGGTGCAGGGAATTCTGAGCCAGGGCGAATTAGTTTTCACTGAAGCTGAGGGAGCAATTGGAGTTCAAACAACTGCTGCTGCAACATGTTGGCAATAAGCCTTTTAAACCTCGACGCCCAGCATTAGAGTCGGCCAGGAGCACCCTCTCTACGGTTGTAACTTTATCTCAGCTACACTCATTGTTTGTCCAAATGTGTAGTAATCCATTAAGTTTCTTGTGAAAGTTTCTCCATGACTTGTTAGACTAAGGCTTGGTTTCTTTCTGGTCTCCTCTGTAAACATTACACAATCCTGGTCCGTCATATCACATTCTTGGTAAATAGGTTTTTGAGGAGTTTTGGCATGCAGTGATTTTCGTTGACATGGATACTTCTCTCTACTAATAACAGAATTGTTATTTCAGAGCTTGGCTCATCCTGGACACTGTGATGTAAGAGTTGTCTACATAGTTTTATCAGATATTTGGCTCTAAAAAGTTTGATAAAAGGTCATTCAAGAATATTGCTCAGCACTTTGTTACCCAAATAGCTGAACATGATCAGTCTGATGTATTGCCATATTTGGCTATTTGCTGGGGTTACTATGGGTACAAGCAGCCACTGTAACACCTCTCAGATGAAGTGTATCGAACTGGCCTGAGTTGAAGTTGTTTAATGATCTACTCACCTTTTCACATTGTGTGTTCTACTCCACCGTCTTGGAGTAGAAATAACTCAAAGCTTGTTTTTGGCCGAATGTCTGATCCAGACCTGCAATTATTTATCTGGCAAAATAATCTTAATTTCTCCTTAATTTGTAAATCATAAACAATAAAACATACATATGGATTAATAAACATCCTACAAGTTTTAAAATGGCCTAAAACTCAACTTGTGAATTCAAATCTGAAACATTATCCTGTAAAACTATAAGAAATCGAGAATATTACAAAATGTTCTGAAAACAATGTTCGTGATTTTTTGGCACATGAAATTATTTATCAGTAGATATTGAATGTTTTCTGTGAACACTTTCACCATTATTTGTCTTAACTTTTATTGCTGGAGTCTTTCTATAATTTTGAATTGTGGTCTTTCTAACTGGAGTCTTTCTATAATTTTGAATTGTCTGCCACTGTACTCGGGGTGTGTATTGCAAGAATCTGGTGATGCAATACGTATCATGATACAGGGCAACAATACAATATATTGCGATGTACTGCGATACTACAGGCACGACGATATGTGGAGTTTTTTAAAGCAATTTAAATGTAGGAAAATGTTGGCGTGAAATGTAATATTGCGATATATTGGTGTATTGATATTTTCTTACACCCCTACACAGTACTACTGAATTACCTGCTTGTAAATTCCTCCCATTGTTTAGTCAGTTCCTTCACTGTCTGGTCAGCTGTTGGTTTTTTTTTTGGTTTTGCTTGATTTTTTTTTTATTAATTGATTGATCATCAAGTTTTTTGTCTGCGACTATAATTTTACACTTTTATGTTCTATGACTAGGATGTCAGAAGGCGCACACAAACCAAACATATTATTTAACCGTGACGGCATCCCCTGACATTTTAAATACCTAACAAGTCATTTATATTACCCAAACACTCATACCATTTAATACAAATATTCTCATTCTCGTAATTAGTCAAAATTTGATGTGAATTCCATCATGGCCACAACCAGCAGGCCTCAATATTTGTCTTTTACAAACAGAGAGACAAGGAGACAGAGAGAGTAATGACCAAAATAATCTAATGGTTGTGGAAATGTTTGGAAGCCATTCAGACTGGCAGGAACCTAAATTTACCTGGGTGAATTAATGAACGGCAAGACAGCACCATTTTGTCTTGTGGTGTAATGGTTTGTGTTGTATGCAGGCGAGCAGACAAATGTGTAACACACACACACTAACATTAAAACTCTCATACACAGGCAGGCGTTGATGTGTGCAATCGCTTGCAAACTTCTGAGGGGACGGTGAGGTTATTAACACATAGATAAAAAAGCGTGGCAAAACATAATGCAACTAATTTCTGACTGCACAGTGATGCTCTCTTTGTCTTTTACGTTTTCTATAAGATTCAGGGACAAATTCAGTAGTCAATCCCTCTAATAAGGTTTTGTTTGTCCAAGTCTGTGTAATCAGTACAGTGTTTTCATTAGCTTTTTTCTGGAAGCAGATTTGATCTTTTTTGTAATTAGTATCTGCAGGGGCACTAGTCTGTCAGGGGTTGGATTTTCACCTGCCATGCAGCAAATCCTTGGTTTTGAATCCATTTACCTCCTGCCAACACCCAACACTGGTGAAAAAATGGAAGGGTTTTACTATTGCAAAATCAAAATTAAATCAGTGAGAGACTCAAAGCACTGTCCACATAAGCTTAATGAGTTGGTAAGAATTTAAATATAATATAAACTTACCACAATAAAGCATAGTAATATTAAGTAATAAATACAGAGTAATAAAGTGAACGAAATCAACAAATAATACTATCACACAAATGGAAATAAATAATAAAAATATGAGAATTGTGCAAAAGAAAACACCGAAATCTAATTCAATTTGCCTTGTCTTCCTCTTATGCAACAGTTGTGTGCCCTTGTTGAGTTCCACCCACAACTTATGGAAGAACTGCCATGTATCTTTAAACTGAGGAAAACATTGATCGCTATTATAGTGTAGGCTCGGTATCCACCATGAGGAATCCAGACTTTTTTGTCATATTTGAGCTTTGTCACTTAGATTTAGTCTTCTTTTAGGATTTTTTTTTTTTTTTTTTGGTTTTCCATATTCTTAATTTTACAAGGTAAACTAAAAACAAATTAACTGCTCCTCTTCTTATCCTTTGTATAAATGGTCCTTTAACATGTGCTTTGTGCTCATTCGCAGTAGCTCTGTAAAAATTGTGTTTTTTAGTAGTTTTATCTGTGGCCCAAGACATTGTTCATTTGTTTACAGCATCAGATATTTTTATTGTGTACAGATATGATACAGTGGTTAAAAACTGCAACAATCATCTTCCCCATGTCATAATTTTAATGGTTTATTGCTAGTTTGTGACCTTTTACAAGGTTCTTCTTGTTCTACAGAAAATGAATTGTCTCCAACATTTAACACAACCGTAAACTATGACCAATGGGAGCCAAAGTTTAACAGCCTTGCTCCTGACTCTCACATGCTACACAAGACTCCCCTCCCGACTCCCCCTTGCAAAATGTACTTTAGTACACGACTAAATTGATCACTGATTTGCACCAGTAAAACTATAAACTTCTCGTGCTCACTCCACTGCTCAACCTCTTACACGCACAGCATCATTGGTGTACACCAAAGCTCCATGATGCCTAATGTTTATCTTATCCGGGCCACTGCTGTCCAAACATGGTCCTGTAGCAGGCAAGGTATGCAGGTTTCAGTCTCCCTACAGCATCTAATCTTAAGAGCTGGTCTGATAAGCTTTATTATTGGGTGTTCTGGATACTATCATGCACTGTGGCACTCAGCGGTCGCTGATGTAGCAGAGGTGACACTCTGATGTTGACGGATATGTTTGACCAGCTGTAAATTCCAGACCTTGTATGGAAAATGGAGAGTTAATATACTGTTGTATTTGTAAAAAAAAATAAATTTGAGGGTATTTTAAGATTTTGAGATTTAAAGGTCAGAACAACAAATTTCACCAAAGTAATTCTTTATGATCACGTATTTACAGTAAGGAAAATAGCAAACTTCAATAGAACATTTTAATCATAAGTCAAACATCACAGGCCTTAGGCGTAATTTAGAGAGCCCATGTTTCATTTAGACCATAATTAGCAGATTAATCTTTAGATTCTAGTACATTTGATTTACTGTAATTCAATAAGTCATGAGTCATTTATTAAATCTGTAAAGTCATTTATCAAGGGAGATGAATTTCTTCCACATTGTGATATAAAGAACTAGCACTTAAATAATTTCTCTGTCATTGTCATTTTGTCAGATGGTGGGTCAGACAAAATAACCCTGTCTATTCAGGGAAAATTAATTTCCTAACCTTTTTTTAGACAACTGGAATGACAAAATCCTTTTT